GATGAAGGATATGTTAGTACCAACGGTGATGGAAAATGGAAACTCATTAAGGGTTCCTTGGTTGTGGCTCGTGGTAACAAACGTCGTGGTCTATACTGGACTACGACTTCTGCTTGTGTTGATATGGTGAATGCGATTGAGAGCGATAGCTCTTCAACGTTATGGCACAAGAGGTTTAGCCACATCAGCGACAAATGACTTAATGTTCTAGCCAAAAAGAATTATTGTTAGATTTGCAAAGTGCTAAATTAGAAAAGTGTGAGCACTGCTTGGCTGGTAAATAAAATAGAGTTTCCTTTAAGTCTAATCCTCCTTCGAGAAAGACAGAGTTGCTTGAATTGGTGCACTCTGATTTATGTGGTCCATTGAAGACAAGGACATTGGGTGGTGCACTCTACTTTGTCACTTTTATTAATGACTGCTCGAGAAAACTTTGGGTCTATGTCTTGAAGACTAAAGATCAAATGTTAGGTGTCTTCTAGCAATTTCAGGCTTCAGTTGAAAGAGAAACTGGAAAGAAACTGAAATGTATTTGTACTGATAACGGTGGTGAATATTGTGGGCCATTTGACGAATACTACAAGCATCAAGGTATTAGACACCGTAAGACTCCTCCCAAGACTCCTCAACTTAATAGTTTGGCTGAGAGGATGAATAGGACCTTGATGGAAAGAGTTAGATGTTTGCTTTATGAAGCAAAGTTGCCAAACTAATTTTAGGGTGAGGCTTTATTGACCACTGCACATGTTATTAATCTATCTCCTACTGTTGCTTTGCAAAGTAATGTGCCAAATAGAGTTTGGTATGGAAAAGATGTTTCTTATGACCATTTAAAAGTATTTGGTTGCAAAGGTTTTATACATGTGCCGAAAGATGAGAGGTCAAAGTTAGATGCCAAGACAAGGCAGTGCATCTTCATTGGATATGGCCTTGATGAATTTGGTTACAGGCTATATGATCTAATTGAGAAGAAACTCGTGAGAAGCCGTGATATTATTTTCATGGAGAATCAAACAATTGAAGATATTGACAAAGCGGAGAAGCTAGAATCTTCAAGTTTTGATGGCATAGTTCATCTAGATGAAGTTCCTCACATAAGTATGCATGATGTTGTTGGGCTTGATGATCATAGTGACGCCCATAATCATGTATCGAATCAACATGTTGATGTTGATAATAACAATGATATTATTATTGATGATCCTCCTGCTCATGAAGTTGTGGACGAATTAAATATTCCGCTTAGAAGATCCACAAGACAGCGGGTTCCTTCCTCTCGTTATTCATCCAATGAGTATGTATTACTCACTGACGGGGGAGAGCCTGAATGTTATGAGGAGGCCATGGAATATTAGCACAAGGATCAATGGATTGAAGCCATGCAAGATGAGATGAAGTCTCTGCATGAGAACCACACTTATGAGTTGGTGAAATTGCCCAAAGGCATGAGAGCTTTGAAGAACAAGTGGGTGTTCAAAGTTAAAGTTGAAGAACACAACTTAAAGCACAGTACAAAGCTAGATTGGTTGTTAGGGAATTTGGTCAAAGGAAGGGTATTGTCTTTGACGAAATATTTTCTCCATTATGAAAATTTCCTCGATTCGTACAGTTCTAGGTTTGGCTGCTAGTCTTAATTTAGAGATTGAACAAATGGATGTGAAGACAGCTTTCCTTCACGGTGACCTAGAAGAAGAGATTTATATGGAACAACCTGAGGGCTTCAAAGTAGAAGGTAAAGAATATTTTGTGTGCAAACTCAGAAAGAGTCTCTATGGCCTAAAGCAAGCTCCTAGACAATGGTACAAGAAGTTTGAATTTGTTATGGGGAGCAAGGCTATAATAAGACTTCATCAGATCATTGTGTATTTGTACAAAAAAATTATGACGGTGATTTTATCATCCTTCTGTTGTATGTGGATGATATGTTAATTGTGGGCAGGAATACTTTCAAGATTGATGAGTTGAAGAAAGAGTTGTGTAAGTCTTTTGCTATGAAAGACTTGGGTCATGCCAAACAATTTTGGGCATGAGAATTACTCATCTCAGAGATGAAAGAAAGATTTATTTGTCACAGAAGAAGTACATTGAACGTGTACTGGAGCGCTTCAATATGAAGAATGCTAAGCCTGTTAGCACACCTCTTGCTGGTCATATGAAGTTGAGCAAGAAGATGTGTCCTACAGCTAGCGAGAAAAAAAAGAGCATGGCCAAAGTTCCATATTCCTCCACCGTCGGAAGTCTAATATATGCAATGGTATACACTAGATCTGATATTGCTTACGCAGTTGGTGTTGTTAGCAGATTTCTCGACAATCCGGAAAAAGAGCATTGAGAAGTTGTGAAGTGGATACTCAGATATCTTAGAGGAAGATCAGATGAATGCTTGTGTTTTGAAGCATCAGATTCAATCTTGAAGGGCTATACAGATGTTGATAGGGCAGGTGACCTTGATAATAGAAAATCCACTATTGGATATTTGTATAATTTTTCAGGGGGAGCTATATCATGGCAGTCAAAGTTGCAGAAGTGTGTTGAATTATCTACAACTGAAGCTGGGTATATTGCGGCTACTGAAGCCGGCAAGGAGATGATATGGCTAAAGCGATTTCTTCAAGAGCTTGATTTACATCAGATGAAGTATATTGTCTATTGTGACAGGCAGAGTGCAATAAACTTGAGCAAGAACTCCAAGTACCATGCAAGGACAAAACACATTGACGTCAGATATCATTGGATTCGTGAGGAAGTGGGGAGTGAATCATTTCATGTCAAAAATATCCACACAAGTGAAAATCTTGCAGATATGTTGACCAAGACGATACTGAAAGACAAGTTTGAGTTATGAAAACAACGTGTCAGTATGAGCTCTCTATAAAGAAAAAAGAGATACCTTTTTTCGGTGAATGGGACTGGAGGAGGAGATTTGTGGGGTCCATCCCCATTATTGACTTCAACAATTGTTGCTGCAATTGTCAATGGTTGGCAAGGTTGGCAAATTTACAGTGGCAGGAAATGTTGAGAAACACAACAATTAAAAACTTTCGGTGGCACAACTTTAACATATTGTGGATGGTGTTGAAATTTGCAGTTGCAAATTTATTCTATAAAAGGGCCATCAACTCATCAGTTCATGACACACCAAGATAGAGAGAAAAAAATATTTGAGAGCAAAGTGAGGTATTCCATAGACTATACAAGAAAAATAGTTTGTGAAGAAAAATAGAGTGTGAGCGATATTTTAGTAAGGTGGAAATCAAAAGAGTGTTATTCATTTTGAGTGTGTTGTAGTCATTTTGAGTATTATATTCGTGACTACACAATGTAAAATTCCTTACTATAGTGATATCAGTTGCTCCTCTTGGCCTGTGGTTTTTTTCCTTATTTAAAAGAGTTTCCACGTAAAATTATTGGTGTTATTATTTTTCCATTTTATTTTCATCACTTTGACCATATATATTTTGTGTTAGTTCCCATTTTTCCAACAATTTGATCAATTGAAATTGAGTTGAGAAATTGAAAACCTTGGGGACCACATAGAGGAATGGACTCTATGGGTGAATACCCACATACCTTGCTACTCAAAGCCCAAGATGAATGGTGAATTGAAGGCCTTGGAGAGAACCCTAGCTTTTTCTTCTTCCTTAGGTTGAGAGGGAATTTGGGAGAATGAATTTGGTTGGGTTTTTGAGGAAATAGGAGAAATAGTTTAAAGTTGGTAAATTTAGGACTTAAAGTTTTTATATAGGACTTTGGATAGAGGTCAAATCGACATAGTATAGGCTTAAAACATTTAAGAAAAGACCCAAAATCCCCTAAGAATTAACTATCAGACTGGTCTACGGGTCCGACTTACGGACTGTCGAATTTTCTATGGTTCGTACTGGTCAACTGTAGACCAAGTACTGAGACCTTAATATTTATCCAATTTTAACGGAATCCTTCTACAGTCCGTAGACTCTAACCGTAGAACTCAACCTTAACCCCAAAAATTCTCCAAGTATGAATTGTTTCTACGGAACCTATATATGATCCGTAGACCATACGATGGACCGTCATGGCCAGCCGTAGGATAAGGTAATGGGACTTGATTTTCAAAAATTATTTTCCCCCTTTCTATGAGACTGGTCTACGACCCGTAGAAAGTTGTACGAACTGTAGATAGCTGCAATTTATGCAATCTTTTCCCTTTTTGAAATCTGAGGTGTTACAGTTTGAATTGACTTTGAAAGTTAAAAGTCATAAGTAGAGGGGGGAGGGGGGAGGCATAGTATGGTATATACCGAATTACCATACCATATTGAAATTTTTAATATCGTGATTTTTGGTATTATTGTATTTGGTATCGTATATGGTATACATTTTAATTTTTTTTTGTATTCGGTAAAGTATTTGATATTTAGAAATAACATTCTGAAATACCAAATACCATACCCAAGTTTATAGTTACATAAATAACATATATATATATATATATATATATAATACTAACAAATATGCAACCTTGTATTAGTATAAACTAAATGCTTACAAGTTGAAACTTTGACAACTCTATTCTGATTGAAATGTATTTGAATTGTAATTGATTAACAAAAGGAGTTGTTTGTACTTTATTTTGCATGTATATTTCTACATGTGTAATGTGTTAGTATGATACAATTGAGATATTTTTTTAATTGTCGAAGTCATAATACTTTATTATACGAGTATATATTAGTCGAACTTAAACAAATTATGATTACTGATTTACCATACCATAGAACCAAAATCGACTTTAATATACCAAATCATACCGAAATAAATTAGTATGGTAATAGTGTAATATTTTAAAAATCGAATACCGAAATTACGTTATCGAAAATTCCATTATAATACTCAAATTTTAGCTTTTCTTATTTTTGTACTTTTTTTACCTAAAAAGTAAGCACTATAAAATATTTTTATCTTTAAAAGCTTAAAAGCCAGAAACACTTGAAATAATTCAATCCAAACATCCTCGGAATATGAAATTATCAAAAATGGGTAAAGTTTAGAGGGATTTGATGTATTTTCCATTCATTTGGCATGAAGTTCCATGATGGCATGAAGGTTTAACCAGATCTCATCTGAAATATTCAGTGAAAATCTGTAAGTTATCAACACTCTTAACCTTTTAAATTGCGATCTTAATTTTTCTAATTTACTTTTGCATGCTCTATACATTCCACTAATTTGTCATATTTTTCCCAATTTTATAAATGGACGATTGCAGAAATGATACTGAATTTAATCATGATTTTCTGGAATTTACTATGTCTTTTGGGACTAGAAACACACATTTTTGAACAATCAATTTTCATGTTGAATCGTAGGCAGTCTTGGAACAATAGTAAAGTTGTCTCTGTGTATTGACGTATAGGTCACCGGTTTGAGTTGTTGAACCACTAATGTCTAATGCTTGCATATGGGTAGTGTATCTACATAGATGCTTCCCTTCCCAAGACCCTGCTAACACAAGGATGTTTTGTGCACCCAACTGCCTTTTGCCTAATTTTCATGTTGAATCCGAGCAGCGTAGTTGTCCGGGATACCGTATACTTTAATTTAGTCGTTTTGGTAAATTGATTTAGTTTAGATAAAGGGTATTAGTTTAGACAAATGATCAAATGATTAAATGATTAAGGATGTTTAGGAGTTGTTTGGACATAGATTTTCCCCCTCCTCCCTTTTATCAAATATTATAAAATAAAAAACTTTGTTTGGTTATTCATTGGATTAGATTTTTGAAAATGTGTTTTTTCATGCATGTCCAAACACAACTTCAATTTCTAAATACCATTTTTCTAACTTCGTTTTCCAAAAACTCCTTTCCTTCAAGTTTCAAACAAAATTATGTCCAAATGCTTACTAAATGTTCTTCTTAAGGGAGTGCAAAAATATTAAAAGACAAATAGTATGGACTGCAGGTAGTTTTTTTGTCTGGTTGTTTAGAAACTAGGAAGAAAATCCTAACTTGAAGTGACATTGTGTTTTGTGTTCACTAGAAGTCTTATCAGTATGTTAGAAACTTGTAAGGTAATGTAGGATAGTTGTGAGATTTAGAGAGTTTTAGCTAACATTTTAATCTTAGAAAGTTTGGCTCACATAGCAATAAGACGGGAGTGAGCATGGAACCTGAAAACTAGCTTTCTTATTTCTTCCCGAAATTTTCTCTGATGGAGCTTACGAATAGCTTAATTGGTTTCTCTTAGAGGCCTTCTTCAGTGAATTCGATTACGAGAATATTTAGACTTTTTTCATTCTAATACTCAATAATTTGGATTCTCCAACAGTAGACGTTGCCAACGTACAAGTCTCTAAACATGCACACTGAAAAGACTCTTAGCAAACCAGCAACATAATTAACATATTAATCTAAACTAGTTGGTATTGCCTACATAGATCTATCGCCTTGATTTTGCTCTATTGATTAATATGTGGAGATAAAGATTTGGCGAAGACATGAAATTATGCAGGTTACTGGGAATAGCTCACATTTCCCCAATGATTAACAGATTCAGCCCTTCTGGCATGACAAGATTTCTTATTCTAGAAAGTGTAGGATGCTGAAGATGCTCAAGGAATTTGTTTATGGTTAGTGCTAACTGCTAACCTTTGGATTACGCAACTTTTATCACAATGACAACCTTGTACCGCAGGTTTGTGGACAATACTTGCACTAGAATCAATTTTATTATACATTTGGATCTGAACTCAAGCTTGTGATCTATGCATATATCTTAGAGTTACCATGTTTTTTTGTTTATTCTGATTCAGTGGGACTTTCAGAAGAACGAACGATAGCTCCAGACTAGTTATAACGTCAATTATAGGAATGGTTTTAGGATATTTTATTGGCATTTCATCTCCATATGTTTCTCTAACAAAGGTAAGGTAGCCCAATCTTTCCATATCTGCTCTGATGTTGATTAAGAAACATTTATCATTCCTTGTAAATTTTTCTTTTGTATCTTTTGTAGATTAGTTTACCTTCAAATCTTGTATCATCTCTAGCGTTTGGCGATGACCATCGTAGACCTTCTATTGAACGCTTTTTTCCAGAGCATCTTGTAACTCCACAGGTACTTATTTCACTTGGATACTCTACTCTTATCTTCAACTCTACCTTATTGTCTTACTTGTCTAGCGTATGAACTTTGGGGACTCCAGTAAAACACAAATGGTATATTAATTTGGCCAGTAAAGTCATGCAAAACTCTTGTAATCTGTATCTTTCTTCCTTACGGTGTTGAATATTGAAAACATGTAAATTCCAAATAAACAAAATCATAAAACCAAATGGATCCATTGTGCTATTAGTACTACTTAAGTGTATGTCATTATGTCGATAAATATCTACTTTTATAATTAACGGCTCTTGTACCTTTTCATTTGCATCCATGTTCTTCTGTCTTAAATATAATGGAAGTCAGCATTTGCAAAAGAACTAGTTGTGATTATTTTAAGTTGTAAAAGCCTTCTTTTTGGTAGCTGTTGGATCTCAAAAGTTGAGTTTCTTATAGTTGTTAACTCTCCCTTTTCCTGTGGTCTAGATGATATCCATATAAAGGCTTACAAGTTCATTAGAGAGTTCAAGGTTGTATGACTAATAAATTGTTTTAATGTAATATTAAGGAGTTGAATATATCAAATGAGTGAAGAGAAATTATCTTGGCGTCGACATATAAACACATATATTTAAGTTATGGGAGCTACTGCTATATTAAGATGATCAGTGATATGATGAAACTTGTGTTATACTGATAGAGCATAGATGTGGAAACATTACAAGGTGACAGAATCAATTTGAATTCATGCTTGGTAAATAGTGTGGGAGGTTATATTTTGGTAAAAAAAGATTGATGCAATTTATAAGAAGAGGAAGAAGGTTCGCAACATGATATTCATTGAACTAGATAATCATATGATAAAGTGCGAAGAAGAATCTGTTCTGGATGATTAAGAAGAAATAGGGGTGTAAACAAATTTATAAATTTCATAAAGGATATGTACGAAGAAGCAATCCCACAATGTTGAAGGAAATACAGAGGAGTTCCCTATAATAATCAGTTTACTCCTTTGAGCTGCATAGTGGAGCTGACTAGAGGTTATGGGTTTTTTCCACCAATTGGGGCTCTCAACTCGTACTTACTTTTCTTTAGTCATATATGAGCTAACCAATAATATAAAAAATGTGGTTCCATGGTGCTTGTTGTTTGCAGATGATATTATTTTAATTAATGAGACTAGTTGGTGTGTCAAGCAAAACCGGATCTATGGAGAACACAAGATAGATAGAATTTAGGATCAATTGAAGTAGACAGATTACATTTATCTTTAGTTAGCCTCATAAAAGATGAAGGTGATATGAGATTATATGAATTATGGTGGATAAATACGAACATTTCAAATATCTGGATTAGTTTTTCATGAGAGTGGCATGACTTATGAAGATGTAACATAAGATTAAAGAAAGATGGCTGAAAGTGCAAAATTAAGAAGATACCAGCAAATCCCCAATTCTATAGAATGATTGTGAAACTAGCAATGTTATATGGACGTCAAAGCCCAAAATATTTACAAGGTGTATTTCATAGAAATACAAATAGTAAGATGCACGTGCTGTCATACAAGATTGGATTATGTTAACAGCGGCCATTGATAGTGCAAATAGTACTATAGAGGATGAATAAGAGAGGTTATTTTGAGATGGGTTGAATATATCTTGTATAGATCCAGTATTATCAAAAAAGCAAAAAGTGCAAAAAAATTCTAAGGTCCGTTGGGGCTTCAAGAGCAAATCGCAAATAAAGAGAAAAAAATACAAATATATATATATGTTTAGTCCAGGACTAATAGTTTATAAGCTTGAATGACAAATATATGAACAAAGAAATTGAAAAATAATTACTATAAAGTGAAAAATCAATTGTTTAGTGTTGCTTCTTCAAAAGAGGTTCATTGGCAAGGAAAAGTATGCCTTAGAACCTTGATGATGACACTGACGTGCACATTAAGCAACACGAAGTGCAGCGCTTAACACGTTTTGAGCCTCGTTTCAGGGATTCATCGTGCCTTTGACAACACTGTATAGATCTCCATATGCACCAATATATTCAAGGTGCTCTAGGAAATCTTCGAAAACTTACAATAATGCAAGCTCCGCCAAGAATACAGTATTATGGAATTTAAGGATAATTTCACTATACGAGCCATATTAACTAGTTGGTATTAAGAAGTATTATTCTTACATCTCTCATTAAACTTGTATCTCCATGTACAGACAACTGAGTATAGTAACATCAGAATCAAAAGCACTATTTTATGATTGGGACATTCTTATGGTTATATGCAGAGCTCATATTCTGAAGTATACAAACTTATATTAGTTACTGGTTCAATAATAAGCTTGGTGGTTGCTTGAAGAAATAAGAGAAACTTGAGGATACACTTGTTGATCCCATGATTATTTTGCGTATGTAAGGAGATTATGATATATGTTTCGACTGCCATGATAGACTTGAGATCAGAGCATCTATAAAATGTTAATCCGTTTCATTTTCTAGATATATGTTCCAACAAATCCTCGCGGTGCAGAGTCCTTGCCACCACGGATTGTGGTCCCTGAATCAGATTTTTATCTGAGAAGGTTGTGGGGTGAACCAAGTAAGGTATGATACACATGTGTCAATAATCATTGGTTAACTTCAATTTTGGGGAAAAAAATGAAAAGGAATATCTGCTCATTGTATAGTGTAAGTTACGTGCAATTTACACTTTTGAAAAATAAATAAATGGATACTTCCAGCGTCATTTGGACATTTGCATTAACAGAAAGGAGAAGCATGTAGGTTGTCATAAAATTTCCCACATTTATTTTATGTATTACTTCCTGGTGCTTTATATTTAGGTGCAGTTTGTCTTATAAATTTTGTGAAATTATTAGGATCTAATAAAGAAGCCAAAGTACTTGGTGACATTTACTGTTGGTTTGAACCAAAAGGACAACATTGATGCAGCTGCTAAAAAGGTAATAACAATGAAGCGATATCATTACTACTTTGTCTCTTTCACTTAACAATGCATTCCAAGTGTGATCTTATTTTCTATGCCTTAATTAGTTTTCAGAGGACTTTCAAATTTTGCTTTTCCATTATGATGGTCGAACAAGTGAGTGGGATGAGTTTGAGTGGTCCAAGCGTGCAGTTCATATCAGTGTTAGGAAGCAGACCAAATGGTAAGACTTTAAATTTGCCTATTAGTTTTGTGATTTTTAAGTCTTATCTATCTGATGCAACAATCAAAGAATAACTTTGTTCTATTCAAACAGAACTATTTTAACTAACATATTTGGTTCTATTATTTTGTTCCACCAAGCTGATCGATTGAAGGGAAATGGATGCTGTTGGATATAATTACTTGTGTTCATCAAGATTTATTCTAATATTGGTCTTTCTCTTGCCTTTATAAGGTGGTATGCAAAGAGATTTTTACATCCTGATGTAGTAGCTGCCTATGATTACATATTTATATGGGATGAAGATCTTGGAGTTGAGAACTTCAATGCAGAGAAGTACGCGCTATTCCCTGGATGTCTTAGTTGGTTTCTCATTTTCAAAAGTGAAAGTATCTGTGTTTTCTCGTATATATGTTGTTTTGGACTAATCTTGGCCACCTGAGTATGCCAGGTATATTAGACTAGTTAAAAGACATGGTCTTGAGATTTCTCAGCCTGGTCTTGAACCCAACAGTGGACTGACATGGCAAATGACTAAGAGGAGGGATGATAGAGAAGTTCACAAGTAACATATTCCGTTAATCCTTTCCATCTCAAATTTTACTTTATTTTCACCTACTTTGAATGGGAATCTGTATAAATTAGCTTATGTTCCTCCACGTGTAAAACTTTTTGTGTGGATTGATTAACAGGAATACTGATGAGAAACCAGGCTGGTGCAGTAATCCACGTTTGCCTCCTTGTGCAGCGTACTCTCTCACTCACTCTCTACTCCCCGTATATGTCTCTATGAGTTCTACTTACCTACTTCCACATGTTTTACACATTAATATTGAGAGGCAGTTAGCTTGTTTCTGCCTTTCTTCAGGGTTGAATGTGCCAACTGCACTCATTTTCTTTTTCCAAGTGCATAAATTCTATTTTCTGAAAATCAGACATTTAAAAGAATTATGACTCCAAACCATATCTTGAGCCCTTGCATATTTTTATAGGATTTATCATACTTTTCATCTGATTTCTTGGTCAGCTTTGTTGAAATAATGGCTCCTGTGTTCTCTAGAGAAGCATGGCGATGTGTTTGGCATATGATTCAGGTAGTTCCTTATACTCTTGGGATCAGATGCATTAACTACCAATGTCATTATTACTCTTTAGTTGTTATAATCCATTCAAGATGAAATCACCCTGATCATGAGTATCTTCTACTATTTCATATGCAATTTATACTAATATTTGTACTTGATTTGATTATAGAATGATTTGGTGCATGGATGGGGATTGGATTTTGCATTGAGAAGATGTGTAGAGGTTATTATTTCTTATTTCCTCCAGATACATTCTTTATTTGTAATAGAATGGTGGGAAAGGATTCCACTGTGGTAAAATGAGAGCTGCAGCGAACTTATTTGAGATATGTTGCTTTGGCAAAATCTTAATTTTCTTTTCCATGGTTAGTGCAGCCTGCTCATGAAAAAATTGGCGTTGTTGATTCGCAGTGGATAGTACATCAATTTGTTCCTTCTCTTGGGAGTCAGGTCAGTCAATGTTCATTTCCGGAAAGCTACTTATTTGTGAAGTAATTAGTTTATTGTTATGTGGGGAAATTTCCCTACTTATTTGGGAGTCAGGTCAGTCAATGCATTACCCTACTTGCCCAACCAATTTCATACTCCGTTTGTGATTTCTTCAGCCAGCGATCTTTTCCTTAAATATGTAAAAGTTGAAATCAACCACCTGGAATTTCCCGAGTGCTTGAGATGATAATGATCAAGTGTGGCCTATATATTGTTATGGCAAGTGTTGTGTAACACCACCAAAACTTATAGTGTATTTGGTACGAAGGAAAATGTTTTTCAATTTTTTCATGTTTTGTTGCACTTACTACTTGAGAAAATATTTTCTTTTAATTAGTGGAAAAGGACGTCCCTTGACCCTAGGGAAGTCAATTACCAGGTTAATGATAAAAGGCCCTAGAGTACACCTGGTGTTTCTCAAAGCTCAGCTAATAAACCCCAACTGAAGCACGTTGGGAATGCTTAACCATGCCAGCAAGGGCATCATGGGATGGTAAAGGACAGGACGTGATTTGATTTATTTTCCGAAAAAGGTTTTCAGCTCACCAAACAAACATGAAAACTTATTTTTTAGGAAAGCATTTCCTTCATACCTAACACAACCTCAATGGATGGTTTTGATCAAGAGAAAGGAAAGAATGCGAAAGTAGCCAAAAAGGAGAAAAGAGGAAAGGTAGGAAATGGAAAAATGAGAATATTATTATAGTTTTGATTCATTAGAAGATAAACAAAGAAATGAGTTTTTCTTAAAAGGGTAGCCCGGTGCGCAATGAATCCCATGTTAGTAGGGTTCAGAGAAGGGCTGCATCCCAAGGGTTAAAAAATGTTTCATCTGATGAGATCTCCTTCCCTCTGATTCTACCCACTTTTTTTATGGAAAGAGCATGTGTTTCATCCTTATCCAACCCTTTGTCTCCCTATTAAAAGTTTGTCCATCGAAAAAAAAATAACATCTCCTATTCGTCTCCTTTCGTTTATCTTCATTCCTTTCAATCAGGAACATCCATAAAAGAATCTAATGCTATGATTTTTTCGTGTTTGCTATTTGATAATTTTGTAAAAGTCTTTAGAAGCATCGTCTAAAGACTAACACAGGAGTAGGACCTAATATTGTCTTCCTTTTGTTGAACTTGTGGAAAGATGACCTAATCTTGTATTACTTTTTTAAAATTAAAACAATAATGGGGTAAGGTGTTACTTTTTTTAAAAAAATGGGGTAAGGTGTTACACAAAAAATTAATCTGGTCAAGCTAGTTAGTTTTGTCATATCAGCAGTTAGTTACGGGCTGTTGAATTAGTTAGAAGCAGTTAGCAAATTAGAATCTTTCTCATTTCTATAAAAGGAATTGTATCATTACAGATTGAAACATCAATTCAAATATACAAGTATACTTTTCCTATTGAATTCTATTCTTCATCTTCTTCTCTTCTCATCCTCCATAGCTGTCAACTCGGTAAAACTCCTGTCCAACTGCTAAAACCTCAGATTCCTCTGAGAATCCCTGCATTTTGGCTAACAAAGGGGGAGGGAAAATTGAGAAGGGGATTACAAGGTGGGGAATTGAACCATCACCAGTAAGGTGAAAGTTTAGATAGTCAATTAAGTGAGCTACTAAGATTTCCGACCCCTTTGTATTACTTTCTCTTCTTGAGGAGAAGAGAAATAGTTGCTTTCTTCCAAATATGACCATGAACATCCCGAGAGTTTGTTCTTCTCCATATGTGGCTATATATCCTACAGTATATTTCCTGCGTTGAATTTGTGTTTTTATAACCATGCCATATTTCTTTGTATAGGACAACAAACTTGCTCATAGATCGCATATATATCATGCTTGAGTTATTCATTAATCATTAATTCTTTGTCATGTTCTTGTTTTCCTTTTCTTCTTTTGGATCACAGGGTGAGACTGAGAATGGCAAAGCTCCTTGGGAAGGGGTAAGCATGTCCATGCATTGCCTGAAATTTATATTGGCAACTATATATCATACTCCCTCCTGTCTTTTTTCATCTGTTGTTTAAAGTTACTTGACTTACTCATTAACCTATACTCCCTATGTCTTAATTTATGTGGCACACCTTCCTTTTTGGTCCGTCGCAAAAAGAATGTCACATTTTTATAGTTGAAAACAATTTAACTTTAAAATTCACCTTTTATCCTTAATGAAATGATATATGGGGAAACTACATAAATGGGTCATAAAATCCAAAATAATTACAAGTTCATACTCAAATCTAATGTAATTCCTGAAATACCACTCTCATATCCATACCCCTCATTCATTAAGGCTAATAATTTTCGCTTAACTGATACTAAATTAGTATTATATACTGTATTGGTATCATTAAGGCTGATAATTTCACTTAACTGATATTAAATCAGTATCATATACTGTATTGGTATCATTAAGGCTGATAATTTTTGTTTAACTGATATTAAATCGGTAACATATAATGTATTGGTATCATCAAGGTTTCTTGGCTAATGAGTAATTTCTAAACAAGAAACCTTAATGATACTAATACAGTATATATGTATACTGATTTAGTATCAATTAAGCGAAATTATCAATCTTAATGATACCAATACAATATATATGTATACTGATTTAGTCTCAATTATGCAAAATTATCAATAAGAGTATATATATATATATATATATATACACTCTTATAGTATCATTAACTAATGAGTGATTTCTGAACAAGAAACCTTAATGATACCATAATATATATCAAGCTAAACGAAATTATTAGTTTTAATGATACAAATACAATATATGATACTGATTTAGTATCAGTTAAGTGAAATTATCAGTCTTAATTATACCAATACAATATATGATACTGATTTAGTATCAGTTAAGTGAAATTAGTTTGCTTAATTATACCAATACAATATATGATACTGATTTAGTATCAGTTAAGTGAAATTATCAGTCTTAATTATACCAATACAATATATGATACTGATTTAGTATCAGTTAAGTGAAATTATCAGTCTTAATTATACCAATACAATATATGATACTGATTTAGTATCAGTTAAGTGAAATTATCAGTCTTAATTATACCAATACAATATATGATACTGATTTAGTATCAGTTAAGTGAAATTATCAGTCTTAATTATACCAATACAATATATGATACTGATTTAGTATCAGTTAAGTGAAATTA